CATCCATCCATCCATCCATCCATCCATCCATCCATCCATCCATCCATCCATCCATCCATCCATCCATCCATCCATCCACTCGTCATTCTATCCGTCCATCCATCCAATTCGAGATTAAACTGCTGCTGTTTTGTCAGTTTCATAATTTCTCTGTTAAACCAGAGAATGAATGCATTTTTTTCACGTTTTGTTTGTGTTTTTTTTAAAACGGCAGTAAATCAAACACCAGTCTAAGATTATGAGAGGAATCAACCTGAGTGAAAAAAAGAGAAAAAATAAGATCAGAAATCACAGTTTATATATAAACTAATTAACTACAAGTTAAGGAAAAAAATAATAGTCAGGAAATAAGCACTCAACTTCTAGCGCTTAAAACGGATTAAATACCCAAAGTTTATTATAGATCAATTCGGTCTGTGGAAAAGCAAAAATGTTTATAACCAGAGCATCTCCACTCGTGGGGATAAGGCTTGGTCAGAAATGGGCTGAATACCTTTGATGAAACCACTTGACCAGTTACATTTTTCATGGAAATCTTTAAGCTTTCAGAGAAGATCTGATCAACCAATTAGAAGATGACTTAGGGGGAATTTGAAATAGCCAAATTTCAATTTTTGTCTTTCCATTATGACCATATGGTCACATCATCAAATAACATAAAACATGCATATTAAGATTTTTGCATAAATAATAATTCATTAGAGTTATGACTAATCTTTAATTCTGGTAAAGCTTTATTGATTTCATATCCATTATTCACAAGAAGAAAAACTTATAATGTATCATACATTCTCCATGTTGTTGAAACCTGCATGAATAAGAAGGAAGTCAATCTTCATCCATGGCTAATAGAGGCTGTGTGGTGTGACTGAGGGAAAACCTGGAAAAGCAGGATCAAGTTCACAGCTGAGCTGTTTTTTTAAGGTTTCATATGTAAATCCTGAGCTTTAGAAATATATGTCATACATTTATTATGCGTGTTTTTGTAAAATGTAAAATGCGTGACTTTGTAAAAAAAATAATGGAAGAAAATCAAGGAACTAAGGTCTGTGAGCACTGTGACATCTTTTGATACATTTTTTGCTTTATAGAAAATGCAAAGGGAGAAAAACTGGAGCTTTTTCATAGCGTTCATGGTTGGCTGATGGTGCTGTATGAACGGGACTGCAGGCGCAGGTTTACCCCTGATGACCACTGGCTTCGCAAGTAAATAGTTCAAGGCTCTGTCAGCTCTCATAATGGTTTCCAATTTTGGGATTTCCCATTTCGTGATGAATTCATTTTCCGTTCTATTCAGGGATCTGAAGCCGAGCTTATTGTTTCAAGAGCTGGAAAAAGGGAAAAAAAGAGCCCAGCTTCTCCTGCAGTACATCCCACATGTTATACCGCATAAAAATGTAAGTAAACGGGATTTTTCAGATCAAGCATTTGCCGTATCTATTTTCTTTTTTGCATTGTTTGTATCAAATTTCCTGCCTTTGTGATTTCAGAGAGTGCTGCTGTTCAGAAACATCGTCACAAAGGAAAAAGAAAGTTTAGGGTTGGTAGAAACCAGCTCAGCTTCTCCACATGTCACCCATATCACTATTCGCCGCTCACGGATGCTGGAGGTATGCAGCAGAAAAATGCACGTTCATTTTTACATATTTTGTTTTTGTTGTTTTCTTAATAATTGAATTGAACTTGAATTCCCATTATGAAGGACGGATATGACCAGCTCCGCCGGTTACCGGTGAATTCCATAAAGGGAGTTATTCGTGTGAAGTTTGTCAATGACCTTGGAGTGGACGAGGCTGGAATCGATCAGGATGGAGTCTTCAAAGAGTTTCTAGAGGAGATCATTAAAAAAGTTTTTAATCCTGCACTCAATCTCTTCAAGGTAAGCCAGACAAACGGTCCACTTTGTTTTTCTCTAGCTATCTTATTTCTGCAGCTTTTGCCTTGATTTTCCAGACTACAAGTGGAAATGAAAGGTTGTACCCGTCACCCACATCCTACATCCACGAGAACCACTTGCAGCTCTTTGAGTTTGTTGGGAAAATGCTTGGTAAAGCTGTTTATGAGGTAATTTTATTGCTTGAAGTGGTCATTTCTGGGTTTGTTTCTCTGAATTATGGGATCATTAGTTTGTTTGTGTTCCCAGGGCATTGTTGTGGATGTTCCCTTTGCATCGTTCTTCCTCAGTCAAGTCCTGGGCCACCACCATAGTACCTTCTACAGCTCCATAGATGAGCTTCCCTCTCTGGATTCTGAGTTTTACAAAAACCTTACTTCCATTAAGGTCAGAGTCAGTTAATTGGCTTATAAACAGTCTGGAACAAAAGTGGAATATGTCCTCCTCTTTACTTCCAACTTAGTTTGTAAAGCGTTTTTTTTTTTTCAGCGCTACGATGGTGATGTCGGAGATCTAGGACTGACTTTGTCCTATGATGAGGATGTTATGGGGCAGGTAAATACTTTATTGAAATATATAGCAGGTGTTCTATCAAATAGTATCTAAAAGTGCATGTGTTCTTTACAGCTTGTCTGTCACGAGTTGATACCTGGAGGAAAAACTATGCCAGTCACCAATGAGAACAAGTATATTAAAATATGAATTCCATTATTGAAAACATGTGTCTGGGTTGTAAAAGTTTCCTTTGCCAAGTCACAGTCAAACCCTTATGTCATATTCACCCTCAACTGCAGGATCAGCTACATCCACCTGATGGCTCACTTCCGGATGCACACACAGATTAAGGAGCAAACGGCCGCTTTTATCCGGGGCTTCCGCAGCATCATTAACCCAGAATGGCTGCACATGTTTTCCACGCCTGAGGTGCAGCGGCTCATCTCAGGGGATAACGCTGAGATTGATCTCGATGACCTCAAGTAAGCAGAGTCTTTCTTTTTTCTTTTTTTTTTTTTGTCATTCTGAGGTAAACAAAATTTCTTTTCTGTTTATTGGGCCAGTTTTAAATGCTTATCATCATTTTTCCTGCATCTTTCAGAAAGCACACAGTCTACTATGGAGGTTTCCACAGCAGCCACCGTGTCATCATCTGGCTGTGGGACATCCTGTCCAGTGACTTTAATGCTGAAGAGAGGGCCATGTTCCTTAAAGTAGGTTTCAGTTTGTTTTACAGAATTAAATGTTTTCAAACACAGTGATTTTACTATTATTTGCTTTTTAAATATGTTTTCATAGTTTGTTACCAGCTGCTCAAGGCCACCTCTTCTAGGGTTTGCTTACCTCAAACCACCCTTCTCCATCCGCTGCGTGGAAGTTTCAGACGATCAGGTATGCGGTATCATGGGTTCAATGAGGCTTCTTCTGAGTTTTGGGTGGGAAAGGCTGGAAAAAGCTGCAGTTTTCTGCACATTTCCATCTTGTACCAGATTCTCTTAAGTTACACTGGCTTTCGATAGTATTTGGACCGGTTAAACTTTTCTATCTTTTGTCACATTTCAGGCTTCAAACATAGAAATATAAAGTCGGAAAATAAAGTCAGAATTTTTTTCTGTACGAATAAGTTGGAAACTATCATGAAGTGTAACAAAATTTCTTGGCTACAAATAAAAAACTGAAGATAGGGGGCATGTACAATTATCGGCCCCTTTACTTTCAGTGCAGCAAACTCTCTCCAAAAGTTTAGTGTGGGTCTCTGAATGATCCAGTGTTGACCTAAATGACTGATAATGATAATTAAAATTGAGAGACTTGTGTAATCAAGTCTTAATGAACCTGTACTGTTTTAATCTCAGAGGTCTTTTAAAGCACAGAGAGCATCACAAAGTACAAGGAACACAGGTCTAAGATACTGTTGTGGAGAGTTTAAAGTCGAATTTGGATACAAAAAGATTTTCCAAGCTTTAAACATCCAAATGAGCACTATGCAAGGGATTATGTTGAAATGGAAGCAGTATCAGATTGTTGCAAATCTACGAAGACCCTCTAAACTTTCAGATCAAACAAGAAGAAGACTGATCAGAGATGCAGCTGAGACGCCGACCACATTTCACAAAGATATCCATAAAAAGTCTTGTTTAAGGTTTTTCATAAGGCACCTGGGAGACACAGCAAACATGTGAAAGAAGGTGCTCTGGTCAGATTAAGCCAAAATCCAACTTTTTGGCAACAATCCAAAACGTTATTTTTGGTTAAAAAGCAACACAGCTCATTACCCTGAACCCACCACCCCCAGTGTTAAGCACGGTGGTTGCAGCATCATGGTTTGGGTCTGCTTTTCTTGAGCAGGGACAGGGAAGATTCTGGAAGAAAACCTGTTGGATTCTGCAAAAGACCTGATACTGGGACTGAGATTTATCTTCCAACAAGACAATGATCCAAAACCTAAAGCAAAATCTACAATGGAATGGTTCACAGGTAAACATATGCAGGTGTTAGAGTGGCCACGTCAAAGTCCAGACCTGAATCTAATCGAGAATCTGTGGAAAGAACTGAAAACTGCTGTTCTAACGCTCCCCATCAAACCTCACTGAGCTCCAACTGTTTTGTAAGAAAGAATGGGTCAGTCTCTCCATGTGCAAAACTGATAGAGACATATCCAAAGTGACTTCCAGCTGTAATCGCAGGAAAAGCTGGCACTACAAAATATTAACTCCAGGCTGAATCATTTTGTGCATCCAATTTTCTGCTTTTTATTTCTTAAAAAAAGTTTAAAATATCCATTAAATGTTGTTCCACTTCATTATTCTGTTCCACTTGTTGATGGATCTTCACAAAAAAAAAATACAATTTAATATCTTTATGTTTAAAGCCTGAAATGCGGCAGAAGGTCCCAAAGTTAAAGGGAGCAGAATACATTCACAAGGCACTGCATATCTACTGTAGCGCTTAAAAGTTTACACTTTCCTTCTAAACTGACTGATGGACCCTGTAACCACCATCAGTAGTTGGAGCAGACTCTTTTTGGGTCAGAAATGACTGCGATATTTTTATAATACTATACATTTAATGATACTATATATTTTCAGGCTTTCTTACCTTTCTGCAAACTACTGCTCTAAGTAAAAGTTGAAACAGGGAAAAATGTCAGCAAAAAGTATATCTTAAATTCCCTATAAAAGATGTCTGATGTGACTTAATGCTCTACATGATTAAAAGATGCTTTAAACAGGTTATTGCGCTTTGTTTATCTGATTACATTTGTTGTTTTTCGATGAATTGTGCAGAACATATTTCCTGACATAGGAAGAAAATGGGGAAAAAGGGTCTCAGTCATATTTTTAGGCCACAAAAAAAATCCATCAAATACCTGTGAGACATGCTCAGAAAAAAATGATTTATGCACATTGATGGCTTTATTAAATGTTTACATTTTGTCTGCTGTGTTTAGGACACAGGGGATACCCTCGGCAGTGTCCTTAGGGGCTTCTTCACGATCCGGAAGAAGGAGCCCGGTGGTCGACTTCCTACTTCGTCTACGTGTTTCAATCTTCTCAAGCTGCCCAACTACAGCAAAAAGAGCATCCTGCGTGACAAACTGCGCTACGCCATCAGTATGAATACAGGCTTCGAGCTCTCCTAACTCTGCTTTGGGACAATCTGCTCAGAGTGGATGTGTTAAAAAAAAAAAAGGTGAGCAGGAGGCGCATTAAAAAGCCATCGGTTAAAGGAAGAAGATGGAGGATGAAAGACATAATCTCTTTTTGGCCTCAGTGCCACCTGGATGAGCTCTGACGGAGTTAAACCTGCTCTGTGTCTCAAAGTGGAAGCTGGTCCTGCTAGGCAGTAACGTTTTTTTTTTTTTTTTTTTTTTAACGAATGGGCATTTCATATATTTGACATAGTAACACACAATTATACCACTAGTTTAATCTCCATTTCTCAGGCTTAACAGAATAACTCTTTGATCTGAGGCCACCACTTTAACACAACTGGAAAGCAATACGGATGCAAAGCAAGCCATCAGAAACAAAGTCGACTGATCATTATTGATATGTTGTCACGTCTGATGAATCCGGAAAATGCATTTTCAAAAATGTTCATTTCTTTTTGTGTGTAAGACAAATCCGTGTCTTTAACCTCCGAGAAAACAAAGAGCGTACTCAAAGCCTTGGCCTGGCATTAATAACCCTCTGGAGGATCATTTAAACTTGCTAAAAGGAAACTGATTGACCCTTGAGATCTGTTCTGTTCTGTGTATGTCTGAGAGTCAAGCATCACCCTCAGTTCTACTCAGAGTATAATCATTGCTGTTATTTGATATAAAGATGTCCTTGCTGTAGCATCAGTTACCTTTAAGAAAAGAAAATGAACTGAAAATAATTTGTCAATGTTTTTACCTTCTGGGTAGAGCAGATCTGTCCTATGTACTACATCTCTTCTTAACACTTACTTTTTAAATCATGAAGTAGATCAGTCTTGTATGTATTTTATACCAGAAAACCATGTTTGCTCCACCTCATATTAATGCTGAGTGCCTCATGTCTAACCATTACCACATTCTAGTACGTGTAGTTTCCTTCAACTCTTAACGAACTACCACTTTTTGGAAGAAAAAGCCATAGATATTTGGGCTGTGGTCCTGGACTTCTTCTCTAAAACGGACAGAGTACAAACTGTAACAACCATGGTGGTTTTACTGTCAATCTCTCTGAACTCTGTGGACATTTTTCTTTAAGCCATCTCTCCCTCTGAAGACCTTTTAAAATGATGTCACAGACTGACTTGTCAACCAAATACAATGACCCGATTGGATGGCGTTCCCTTGAAAATGTGGCACTGGTATGAGTCTGAATATTCTTTCAAACAGGGTTTTACACCAAAAAGTCACGTAATCAGAAAAAAACAACCCACTTTGACTCAACGATTTTAAGAAACATTTTAAAATCTTCAATTTCTTTAATATGCAAGAATAGGTTTTCTGTTATGAATGACAATTTGTTTCTAACTACTTGAACTATGGCCTCTAACGTGTTTAAAAAGTGAATGTGTGTATAGGGCTGGTGGAAATTTTACATACACTACGTATAATTATGAATAACATTCATTTTGAACTTTTAAAAGCACATCTGAAGGAGTCTGATGTGATCATGTAGCACTCAACGAGTGATTTTTAAAGAAAATATAATTGGTTGCACAAGTTTAATTTTTTTTTCTTTTGTGTAAAACTGTACAAACAGCATTAAATCCATACATATAGGTCCCAGTAGTTGGTTTAATGTCAGTTATCTATATGCAAATTGAAATGCTTTATATGTCTATCAAATATCTTCTGGTGTATCTGGCTGGAGGTTTGGACGCACTTCTTAGCAGAAATGGTAAAGGTATTGATTTATTGGCACACTGTAATCATATTCCATGAATTTGAAGTAGGATTGAGGCTGTCTGTAGAGATCAATGGTTGAATGGTGCAAATAGTTTTGTGTGGGATCACTTTGGATCACCCAAGCCTTCCCCTATCAGCCATATGACCTTGGTTTCCTGGTACTGCCCGTCTACATTTGGGATCATTGTGCTGTTGAAACACCGACTTCTGTCCATTTTTTTTTAAAACAACTTACTGCTCATTTTAGGCAAACTGAGGAATTTTGAAGTGATAACCTTTCATTATCGCATCTGCTTTGTGTGTTTTAATAGTACTGCTACAGCCCTAATTCCCTGATCAGAATGCTGCTGCCACCATGTCTGGGTGCTGTTACTGTGCTTTAGAATGTGCTTGTGTTTGTGGGGTCAAAAACCTTCATCATCATAAAGGCTTGGCATTAATTAGAACATTTAAAATGTTAACCCTAGCTAAACTTTACAGTTTTTGATCCCTACACTGGAAAAACAATTGAAATCTAGATAAATCATGTTTTTCTTAAAATAAATGCATTTGTTCTTGGATTGAGGAGGTAAAAGAGACATTTTGCCAATGGAACAAGATAATTTACATGTAAAATAAGAAAACACAATTGCATTGTCTTATTTCAAGAGAATATTATTGAATTATCTTATTTTAAGAGTCAAAATCCTCATTCCATTTGCAAACTATCTCATTTACCTACACAAATTAAGGGTATGTACACTTAATTTAAGAATTAAGATTAGATCGTTTTTACAGTGTAGTTTCGATCCCCAGTCGGCCAACTGAAAGAGGCCCAGTTATACAATTAAAGAGGGTATGTAAGTCTCCACTCCTCTTTCATTGCAGGGCATCATCTAAATTGACAAGACATATGCCTGATGATGCTGCAAGAATCCAGCAGACCAATGGCTCCTTATTGCCGTTTAATTTCTCTCATACATACCAGGATGTTCCCAAAGTTTTGTGGTCCTAATAATGTCCCATTTTCCCTCATTATCACAACCTGTGAAAGCATGTGTGCCAACAAGAGCATCGAATAGGTCAACCACAAGGAGCTGGAAAAGGTTTCTGACTATGAGTGCCACATTACAGATAGATGACATCTGTATCCTCACTAACAACACCTGTGGCTTGGTTCTGACTGGCATGGTTAGTATGTAAAAGATTCTGCATTTTTCCCTTTTTCTGGGAAGATTTTACTTGTTTACTTGTTTTACTTTGTTCCAGTCTGTTTCCTCGACAATAGTGTGTCTCTCCAGAGAGTGTAAACACCATCTTATTCTTAAGCATTTGATAATCCTGTCAAACACCACATCTGTAACTCCACTATGTCCTCCCTCACTATTTGCTTCAGCACAGTTCCAGCAGACATGTTATCTTCCTGTAATCTGGATTAGAAATTGCCCAACGCAGTGGAACAAGTGGATGAACCAAGACATTTAAAAAAAAAAAAAAATATATATATATATATATATATATATATATATATATATATATATATATACTTTACAAGACCAAAATACAAGACCACCTATTTCTTTTCTCAGTCTTACTCTATGATTTTTATGCTTGAGAATGCATTCAAGTTCTGTTTTTTCATTGTGTTATGGAACATAGTTTTTGGGGATCCTTTTTTCTAAATTTCCTGTTGAACTCTTATAGGCTTTCTCTCCAGCCTGGTGAGTTTGCAGCAAACCATGGCTGTGTTTGGGGATTCCTCCAGAAAGAGTAATAATATGTAAATTAAATTGGGGTTAGGGGTTTACCCAACTTTTCTCCATCAATTCTAAAAAACTTTTGACCTTTTTTCCTGTGCTGCTCTGCTCCATGTGTTTGTAGATCTTAATATTTTCCAGATCTGTCTTAGATACTGAGATCTCTTTTCTGCAGTGAAATATTATCTGGTCACGGCTCCAATTTTTAAGCACCATGGAATGAAGGCCGTGTTTTCTGCATGATGCATCATCCACTATCCTTCTCTTGATGTTTGATTTGGAGAAATCCCAACAATATCCACGCAAAGCATTAATAACACTAAGAGGGGACCATTGTATCCTCTGAGGTAGGAACTCAATGAAATGTATCAAAGTGAGTTGACATGAGGCTTGCTCAAGGGTTTCTTCAAATCTAGGCTGTGGTGCTTCATCACACAAGTTGTCGACTTCTTTCAGTTTCTTTAAGTCGAATCCTCAGGATGGTTTTGCTCAAGCAAAGGATAAAACTTTTCCAGGCTTGCGTCAGGACAGCCTCATATGTTACATCAACAACCCCTGTGATTGAACCATCAGCTATCTCTCATATTTTTAAAGGTCCAAAACACCAGCTTCTGCAAAATATTTTTCTTAACTGTTGCCATGAAAAAGCAGTTGGTATAAAATTAGCTGTATTTTAATTAAATTATTTTTTATTAAAACTAAACCCTCTAACTGAATGGCAAAATCCCATTGTTCACCTTTCAGTGAAATAAATATATCAATTGGTTGGAATTAAGGTGTAGTGAAAAATGTATGGAAGATAAATGATGTTGGGGATAGCTTCTTTGACAGGACACTTATAAGCCGCTTCCGCTTTTTCCTCCGGCTCCAACACTCAGCATAGCACTGCACTGCAGACAGAATCTGGTAAGTGAAGTAATATTGTATAGGTTATTTAGTTAAAGCGCCAGCAGTCAAGTTTTTAAATATAAAGGTCTCTCAAAAGTCTAACCCTGTGAAAAAACCCCTGTTAATAATATTACTATTTTTGAAAATAACCCTGATTTCTGTTAAAATTAAAAAGGCAAAAACATTCACGTTCAGACTATTACAAGCAGATAGATTCCTGATTAGGTCATTTAACACACGTATCCTTTTCTAACCCGTCCTCATAAAAATATCTAAATCAATCGCAACCAGAATCAAAACGAGAAACTAGACTCTGATCCGGAATCATATTATATGAATGTTGGATAGACAAGGGATGTATTTTGCAATGAGGCCATTATTTGCAGCCAATGAGAAGGACTGATAACAATTGATGGATTACATTTAGTCAGTTTCTGTTTACTGACAGTTGTTTTGGGGAGATTTAAAATTTGAATTAACTATATAAGCTGTATATTTATATTAAACGTATATTTGTTAAATGTAGATTTATAAATAAGATAAAAATCGAAATGAGTTACAAAATAAATGTAACATTTATATATAGTTATGGAGGTGCGGAAATATATCTTATAAAGGTTTTTAAAATATTTAGATATAGATTTAAAGTTGATACTTTTTAAATTGTAAAATACTGTACACATTGCAGTAACATGGAAACCCATCCAGATGAATCCAATTTAGTACTAGCTAAAAATTATAAAATGTGATGTCTTTTTAAAGCACATTTTAATTTGTTATCACCCTCTCCCAATGAAGATATCTTCAGCCTCAACAGGTCCTTCCAGAAAAGGACGTTACATCTCCAAGCTTGCATGTGCAGATCTTAGCTATAAAGAAGGGAATACTCAGTCTCTCCAAACAACTCTTGTTACAGAGAGTACAGTAGTTGTCTTAATTTCACTTAGGGCAATGACTTCCTTGCTTTCTGAAATGGAAGAGTTTACAATTTACCCCAGAACTTATTTTAGATTTCCACTAAACCTATTTTGTGAAAGAGGGCCCAGCTCCCCTTGTGTTGTTATTTACATTAAATGATAATAAAAAAACAAGCTCCAATCCTCTCTGTGCCTCCTGTCAAATATATATGTTCCTCAAAGCTGGCAACACAACAATGTTAAGATTTATTTTTTATCCTTGTTTGTAAAAGAGACTTTTAAAAATAACTGCTTGTTGAATCAAGATTTATACTACTGAAATCTTGCAAATGCATGTAGTGTTTTTTTTTTTTCTCAGTTCAGATTAATTCTTGATTAAAAACACCTGTTTGAACCACTGGCTGACTGACATGCTGCTAGGCTGAAGTTGTGTCCTTATTCACCTTGTGTTTTTTTTTTCTTTCTCTAAATACCACCCATGGGGGATTATGGTGTAAATGCGCACGCATGAGTCAAACGTCTCCCACCAGCTCACTTCCTGGGCCGTGTTTATCGCCACAAAGAGGTGAACAGAAGTTCTCCTTGTGAAGATTTTCCATCTTTCTGCTGCATTTGTTTGTCTCAGCGTAAACTGTAACATGATGAGCAGCCCACCGAGTCCATCTCCAACCCGATGGTTTAAAGCCCTACGCAGGTAAATTCATTTCACTTTGAAGACATCTGCATTTATAATATTTCTAAATTTTTAATTCCTAGAAATAAATGGGATTATAAAAAAGAATCTGTGGCCTTTAGGGTGGTTGGAGGTCAGTCTGCAGCACTGTTAGTTTATATGCATCACCTGATTGGCTGGAGTTGTTAGGATTTTCTACTATCCTCCCTGCCAGTGGGGATTTTTACTGAGTGGGTGCTGAGGCTTAACTTTAAATGAGCCCATTTAAAGAAGGTAAATCAACACTGCTTATTCTTTGACTCGATTTAAAACATGAGTGGGAAAATCAGAGCATGCTATGTTTGTCAGAGGAATGGTCGTCTAACCTGCAGAAGGTATAGTGGTAATGTAGATTGGAAATGTTCCTGAGAATGACCACAATCATGCTGACAGTAGTTTGTTCTTCCAGGACCAGGCTGGGAGAACCCTGTTTAAGAACATACCCTCTGGAGTGTGTGGATCTGCTGAGGAGGGCAAGAATCGCCTTTCAGGCTGGACGCACCCTGAAGGAAGATTTCAGACTGGCCCAGCTGGAGGCTGTGGTACGAATGATAGAGGAGCATGAGTGTGACTTTGTGGATGCTCTTGGAAGGGACCTTCATAAGGTACATTGTCTGTCTTCTTTCAAACATTCAGTGAGAACAAATGAGTGGTTTACTTCTGATTCCTAATAAATTGTTGTTTTGTTGCTCAAACTCAGAAGGAAATTTGAAACATAAGGATTATTGGTGCTTACAGCAAAGGAAAGCCCAAATTTCTGTTTCTTAAAAAGCAATAATATTACATTTGACCAATGCATATTGTTTTTAAACAAAGAAATGTTATGCTATGGCAGGGTTATGAAGTAAAAAAATTGGAAGTTTGAAGTCCTGATGATTTGTTTTTCATGAAGCCTGCCATACACAGACGGGGCTGTATAACAGTTCATAGTGCTCCAACATTGGCTGATGTTAGGGAATTGTCTAAAAGTGCAAAATAGGAAACAAGATAACGCCATCCACAAGAATGTGCCACAAATGGTAATTGCTGCAAGAAACAGACTGCTCACAAAGAGCTTAATCCAATACCACTAACTGAAAGTTTAATGACAGGAAAAAGGACGCTGAAAAAATATTTTTAACTTACTGACTGAGGCTGGATTGCATGATTTAGCCACAGTCACTAAAATTCAATGAAAAACATGCTTCAATTTAATATGACTGAGTTCCAACTTTTAAACTTAATTACGAAAAACTGGTCACTTAGATGTACCTGGAAATGTACCTGAAAATGGAGATATAAAGTGTTTGTCTCATCGCATAGATTCACTGTTTTCTTTCTGTTTCAACCAGCCAAGGTTTGAGACGGTCGTTTTTGAGCTGATCATGGTTAAGAATGAGGCTCTTCATGCCATCAACAATCTGAAAAAGTGGATGGAACCTCAGTCTGTGGAAAAGAATCTGGTGAGAAACCTGTTTGGGTTGCCTTATTTCTCCAAAACATCTTCATAGCAAATAGATTGGGATTATTTAAGGCTTACACAACCTTTTTAGGGGGGGAGGAAAACATTCCAGTCTGGTTTCCACAATGAAATCCATTGTACTTGGTCCAACAAAGCAGATTAAGAATAAGTTGCATTGACCTTTTAAGAATTCAAGTCTTTTCCTTGGCTATATATAGAAATATTTTCACCTGTACTCTAATTTTGAACCTGTGCAGTCCACATGCTTGGATGAGTGTCTGGTGGTCAATGAGCCACTGGGAGTTGTGTTCATCATGGGGACCTGGTGTTGTCCTGTCCAGATGTGTTTGGTTCCTCTGGTTGGAGCAATTGCAGCCGGTAAGCAGGAGAACAGTTTTGTAAACACAACACAGCACATTCAGGAGAATCTCACAGCAGCCGATGTTTTTGCCGTTAATGTAGGAAACTGTGCTCTCCTCAGTCCCTCTGAGCACACCGTGCACACAGCAGAGCTGCTGCATCGTCTAATTCCTTTCTACTTAGATAATGTAAGTAAGCCAGTTATTCAATGCAATTTCACCTCCCAAAAAGAGTCGGATAATGTATAACGTAGGAGGGGGATTACTGAAGTTTCAAAGAGGAATAATTTTGCTGCTTCATTGTTTTTATTTTGTAACATTTATGGAAATTCCTTCAAATATCTAAAGGAAAACAAACAAAAGGGGGTAAAAACACAATAAATAAAAAAAGAAATTCAAAAATAGCAGTTGAGCCAAAATGCATTGGGATGAGTTATGTTCAGTGGTTCTTTTTTTTAACTTTTTGTTGTTTGTTAATTGTGTTCAATTATTTGTTTTTGTAAAAGTGCTTGAAATTGTCAAAATATTGTGTTTTTATGTCTCAAAAGTGATTTTTTTTTTCTGAATTCTTTCTGATTTTTTTCTGAATTTATTCTCATAATATACTGTACCATAGCCCCTTTGTTTTATAAAGGGCTTTATAATAGCAATGATCATCAAAGTGCTTAACAAGTACAAGTAAAATTAAAATAAAAAAGGAAAACAGACAAGCTAGGAGATAAAACAATAAGATGGGTTCAAAACTGTTATATGGTAAAAAAAAAAAAATGAAAATTTGTAGCAGTATATCAAGTATGATTGTTTTCTTGACCCCAACTTTATCATGGTACAAACATTTTGAATCTGACATTCTTGCTTAAGATCATGATATGGAAACTTTTTTCGTCAGCAGTTGATGTATAAAAGTAAAATAGAAGGAAGTAGATAAAAATAAATATGTATTATATTAAGGTAATATGGACACCGTCATTAAACAGTGGCTGATATAGGTGGCGCACAGCTAAAAGCAGAAAGGTCCGAGGCTCACTGATCAGTTTTCAGATTTATTAGAAAACTTTAGATTTTTCCTAAGCTATACAAGAATTAATTGTCCTAATGGCTGTTGGATCAAAGCTTGCCTCATAAATGTGACCTAAAAAAATCTATATATAACCAACATTGGAGAAAGATGATGTAATAAGATGTATACAGTCAGTCTTGCTTGTTTTTTGTCTTTATCAAACTATGATTTATTTTCAGTTTGCTTTAACAACAGGAAGGATAACATTTGAGGGAAAAGCTCTGATAAAACATTTTTGTTTTTCCTCAAGGAATGCTTCCATGTGATTCTTGCAGGCATCAGTGACTTGCCTGAGATCGTGGAGCTTAAATTTGACCATGTCTGCTTCTCAGGTAACGTCCTCTTCATCATTTTAACACACATCTCATGGGTTTAATGGTTGTTTCTGACCTTTAGGAAACAGGGAGGATGGAAACAAGATAGCTGTGGCTGCAGCTCGTACGCTCACACCAGTCACCCTGATTCTTGGAGGAAAGAACCCATGCTTCGTGGACCAGCACTGTGACCTGGCCACCACGGTGCAGCGTATTGCATGGGCACGTTTCCATAATGCTGGACAGAGCATAATGTCCCCCAGTTACATCCTCTGCCACACAGACGTCAAAGCACGGCTGGTGCAAGCCCTGAAATGCTGCCTAATGCAGTTCTACGGCTCTGACCCGCGAGAGTCCCGCAGCTTTGGTCGTATGGTTAATCTGGAGGTTTTCCACCGTACAAGAGAGCAGCTTTGGAGATCTGGCAAGGTGGTTATTGGTGGACAGGTGACAGAGGCAGAGAAGTATATTGGTAAGGACCTACGTCACTGACTCCCTCTAAAATGTCACCTACTTAAACATGCAGAATCTGATTAGGCTCTGCCTTTTATTTTGGCTTGAAGCTCCAACAGTTTTGGCAGAAGTGGCGGAATCGGATCCCATCATGCAACAGGAGGTTTTCGGCCCAGTTCTTCCAATACTGTCTGTAAATGATGTGGATGAGGCGATTGCTTTTATCAATAAGCAAGAGAAACCTCTCTGTGTGTATGCATATTCCACAAACAATAAGGTACATTACACCATCATAGATGATAATATTGGGTTTTTGGTTTTTCTGTGTGACTTTTTTTTTTTTTTTTTTAGATAACTTCCATAAATAAATCCCCGAATCAAGTTGTAAAAATCTATTTAAAGACTATAATTGAATACAAGTTTGAATGTGGATTTCCTATAAACCACACAGGGTCACGTTTTTACAAACACTCCAACTAATATTTGGATAAATGTCAATAAGCAAGTTGCACCTCAGCTATTTGCCTTCTATGACGTTAAAGGGTTTAATTAATAAAACTCCACTAAAATGGTAGATTTTTTTTACTGGCACAGGCCTGGCTTTGAACTTAGCTCATAAATCTGTAGATTAGCTGAGGAAGGTTGCAATTTGAAAGTTCTATTGGTGAATTTCCCCTATTGAGGATTAATAAACTATTTAATAATGTTTTGACTTTCCTCCTTTAATGCAGAAGTAAAACATGTTTCACTCATTTCGTTATGTTTTAGCAATTCTCAGCTCATTGCATTCTTGGACTTTGGTTTCTGAGTTGCACCTAGAATGAGCATTAAGATCAGAGATTCTTGAGCACAGCTGAGTAATTCCTACAAGACGGTGAAACTAAAAACACAACTGGTTTTGTAATTGATTAGAGAGGCTGACGATATTCCTTTAAAGTTCCGGATCCAAACTGCTCTGAATATTTGTGAATGATAAATAAAAGCCCGTTCCAAGGAAAATACAAGTGAAACCTGCTAATGGGCAATAAACAGATTAGGAATTGGGAGTGTATGCATATCTTAGCCTAATTTTGTAACCTTTGGACTTCTAGAGCAAAATTCAGCACTGCATACAGAGTTTTTCTTTTTTCTTCACCTCCTTAAAACAAGACAGGCCAATGGATGGATGTAAATCTGTAAAACATAAACCAAAGGGGCTCTTTACGCATCTGTCTTTATTTCAATGTAGGTCATTTCCAGACTCATGAGTGAGACCTCTAGTGGCAGCTTTTGTTCTAATGACTGCATCTTTCAGAGCCTGATGGTGGCGTTGCCATTCAGTGGAGTGGGTAAGTCGGCCACTTTACAAGCACTGACATGTAAAAAAAATATATATTTATTTTCATCAATCCATGCAACATTTCCTTCTAGGTGCCTGTGGGATGGGGTCCTTTCATGGCCGCTACAGCTTTGATTCCTTCTCACACAGAAAAGCATGCTTGCTCAGAGGAACGCGCTTTGAGTGCATCACCTATCTGCGCTACCCGCCCTATGAAGACCGCAATCTGTCTCTGATGACATGGGCCTGTACGCTGTCCCAGAAGAGCCAGGGCTGGTGCCAGATCATGTGACTATCACAAATACTGTTAGCAGAAGCCCCTCAGAATGGAACTTATCCATAGCTAGTCTCATGGGAGGGAGATTCTAATTAATGTGGGGTCTAAAGGTTAATCTAAATTATTTTAGGTTTATGATGCATTGCTGTGTTTAATGTGTAAAATAATGTCACTGTACATGCACTGTTTAAGTGATTTATTTAGTCTGTACTAAAAACACTCTTGAATGTAAAAATGTCAACACAACAGAAGTATCTGAAGCCATCAATGTAGAAATACAGCTTTTGATTAATAGATGTGTTCATTCAGGTCTCCTGTAGATCTTTTCCTCTTTGGCTTCCTTCATGGCTGCATATCTGGCAACTGTAAAGAGGTAATCACTCAACCTAAGTACAAAAAAAAGAAAAAAGAAAAGTTGTTAGCTTTATCAGATGCTTACTTTGAATCCAAGTATTTTTAGCATATAATCCTGACCTGTTGAGGAACTTGGCAACATCTGGATCCGCCTCCCCTGAACGCACAATTGGAGCAACACTGTGTAGAAAAAAAACAGAAATCTAGAAAACGGCAACGGTAAAACAAGAAATGTATCCAGAGTAGAAGCGTCAAAGGTCCTATACACAGGTTAAAAAAAACAAAAAAACAACAACACCGATGTTCAGAAGTAGATCCAGCAATCAACCCTGAAAAAAGACATCTATATAGATCATAAATCTGTCAAATTCTGATCGGCAACACTGAGAAACAACATTATCCAAACAGTCTCTAGAAATAAAAAGCCAAACAATCTTGGGGTTGGCATAGAATTCAAAGAGAACCAATTTCCATTACAAAGCCTATGGGTTTAATGTTTAACATGTGAATCAACTTTATAACAAGATGTCTGTTGGATTCACATTTCAAAGATTAAACCCAAAAGGTTCACGAGTAAGAGTTGTTGAAACTATGTTTACATTTGAGCTTTCCCCAATTTTCTAAGTTTTATTTAGGTTACATATTAGGCGACCAAATTTTTATTCAACATTTGCTATAAAGGTAGATTCGATTGAATACAATGAACAAATAAGAAAAAATAGAGGGTAGTCTATAATTTTTCCATAACTTTACACAGTATCTGTAACATGATGCCTACACCACCATGCTCCACGGCATACTGGCATCTAATTTTAGTGTCTATTGTTTTATTTATTTGTGTAGTAATTTTCTTCCGATAGTTTGTGATCATCTTGGCTGAGCTATTATTTTCTCCACCTCTTTAAGCATTTGCCCTTTCTAATAACCTGTTTAAAATCCGCTGCATCTGTCTTTATATATTAGCTGACTGTTTTGTTTGTTTACAGAATGATCAATTAACTTCCACCCTGCTAACGTCTTCATTGGCCCCTTTTTAATCCATAACTTCATTAGACTCAATTAGCGACATTCATGTCATGGGCTAATTGGTTTATATTACTCTACTACACATATTATTACATTATTTGTCATTTAGAGAAATATTTCTACCAAAAACAGATAAAGATCTGTGATTTCATTTATCAAAGATTGTAATTTATACTACAACTGTGTGTATGTAAAATAGATTTCAGGTTTATCTAGCCATGTTTAGCTCTCCTCACACCTGCATTAAGCTACAAATGGTTCGTGCAAAGCACTACATGAGAGTCGCTCTGTATTTAAATGAGCCAGCTGATGACAATTGCTAACAATTGCAAACACAGAGAGGAGAGATAAAATAAAGATAAAAAGGTTCACTAGCCGCAATAGTGGCATGACAAAAAAGATTAAGAATAGCAACAGAGTCATGGATGGACTGTTATCAATAAGGACACCCAAGGTGGCAGGCAGTACTGTGCATTATTGATACATTTAAAGATGTTTAAAGAAGTGATTAAAAGATGCAATGAATAGAATTAAAAAAGCCAACAATCTGGATAAGCTGTCCAAGTAGCTATCTTTGAGATAAAAAGGTCAGTTACATTGTCTTATTATATGTAGATGTTTAAGGGTGTTCCATAGCCAGGGTGAAAACCAAACTGCTCCGCTTGAAGCCAAGGTTCGACAATCAGCTAAACTCCTTTTTTCCAGCACCCTGGTTATATTTAATTCTATTCCTTCAGTACAGTGCACCCAGCTACCCATCTGTTGTTTAGTGCATCAGAGCAGCGTGCACTGACTACCTAATATAGAGGGATGGTGGACCAGACTCTCCAATACTCAGAACATAGATCCAACAGCAATGATCTAAGGAGTCTGATTGGCTGATATACCAGTAATCATCATCGGTCTAGAAATTTTGGTGATCCCTCAAAATTCTTCTATTTTCAAAATCCTCCAGCAGCATTAAACTGCACTAATAAACAGTATTCATCTATGGTACAACTCACCCGGTTTATCATCATCTGGGAAAGAGATGTAATGGTGAGCAATCCTTAGAATATTGTTCGCACTTAAGGGATTTGAGCTGCTCACAGGCTGAAGGAGGAGTTACACTGGAATGCTTATGAGGACCTGATCTATGATGTTTTAAATAGAAAGTTCAGAATTCAGTTCTTCACCACAGAGTCTTCCCCTTTCCTCTAAAATGTGCGTACACGAGTCAGAGTTGGCGTGAGGGAACGCGTTTTAAAGCCGATTTAGTTTTTTGATCACAACCTTTGTGCATGAAGTTGTGTATGCAATCGTGATAAATCCAATCCCTATTTAGTGACATTGGACAGCTTTTATTTGACTCCAAATGTGTGTGCAGAAACTGACCTACGTTCTGCTCTCCGACAGACTGTCCGTGCTAGGTGCAAAGCTGCGCTGCTTTTTCCACCAGACTGTAAAAAAAACACATACTCAATATCAATGATCTAATCTTTAACAGATCTAAAGGAGCAGAAATATGCTTACAGGTAAAATGAAGTTATTTAGTGGTGGGAGTTCCTCCGTAAAATTATCAATCCACGTTTCCAGGTCAGTGATTGCCTGAGGAGTGAATTTTGTTCTTTCTAGTTTAGGAAAAAAGAAATTTAGATCAGTAGTGAAAAAACAATGAGATCAGACCAGCATGTATTTGCATACGTCTATGGCTTTCCCTTGCAGATGATCGAGGAGTAGCAATATTGGAGCCAACATCTTGAAGAACGCACTGGATCTGCAATAAACAAACAAACAAAAAAAAAATATTGGATAAGCCACTTGTTCAGTTTTGTTTCTCCTCAATCAGCTTTTTGTGCTGAAACCAACTTGCACTGTTCTCCCTGACAGTCAGGAGAGCAGAGTGCAGGTCGGTTTTAGGACACAAGATACATTTCACATGAAAACCATACCTTGTCCAGCTGACCTGTGAACATGTGACCTTTGTCGAGGCAAAATTCTCGAGCCAATCTGTAAAGGAAGAAGGTATATCAGAAAAATCTTTGATTAAAAAACTACCAGTAAAAGGATTTCAATTTGAACTGCTGACATTTTAGTTTGTCAACAGCTCTATAGAAAGAAAGAAAAGACTTTCTCTTTAAAACCGTTTAGCATTCACAGCATTGACCAACTCAAATTTCAATGAAACTGAGAAAATACTTTTTCCTCAGTAATAGTTTTGGTTTTCCTATAGCAGCAGGATATAAGTCATTTTTTACTTTAAAACAAGTAAAAAAAAATCACAAATACTGGTGATGACTTTAAATATAAAGGTTAAGAACATCACATTACTGATACCAACTCACTCAAACACTGAATCAGTGAATAGTCAGCACTTTTATGCATGATTATCATTTCTATTTTCTGTACTGTCATTTACATTTTATTGAGCTCTGAGGCAGTTTATTGTTTTATTATATGCAGAATTATTTTTCTTGTCTGATGACACAATTCTATGCAGTTATTTTAACCATTTAACAAGATAAAGTACTCTAAATACCCATGTGCATAAAATTAATTTTCAATGTAATAATACATATTTTACCCTATTATTGATGACAACTCATCTGTATTCCCCAAAGCTTCAAAAATGTGATCTTCCTTTGGCCTCCTTTCTCCTGTGAATGTGCTGGAGAAACCTACAAAGAAGGAATAAACCTGTTTGTATTGTTTTTTTTTTTAAATATACATATTATGAACATTTATTTGATTTTAGGGAGACATGTAATAAACCAACACAGAGTGGAGGTCATTTTGATTTGAACCAAAATGACTAATCGTTTTAATTTTCAAACATTGTTTTCTTGAATAACTTATAAAGCTGAGATTTGAAGCACAAAAATATCTGAAAATTAACATCAGTATTCTCTCTCATTCTCTGATTGTTTTCCAGAAATATTAATCTTAGCAGTATATGCTGGAGAACCTGGGCACACACAAAAGAGAGTCTACTTTTCTCAAAGATGTCATACTTGCATACTTTTATTTTGGGCTATTGGGTATACTTCAATACAAAAACCATGTGGCATTCAAATCTAAATACACATAGAACTCAAACCTCAGTGCACCAACTGCTTATTTAACTTGTATAGCGGAGGTCTTCAACAGTGCCAGGGGCCTGATGATGGTTTGAGGCCCCTGGCGGTTGCCTACTATGCCTGTATGGTAAGTCCGCCTCTGCTGATACAAATACCGATATATATTTTTTTATATTTACATTTGCTTTATCATCCAAAGGATGACTTTTAATTGTTTTATTGTGTTTTTCGTCATTTGGACATTTATAGGTGACCGTTTTATTAACATAAATAAAAAAAACTATGGTTTGTGCCTTTTTCCACTGAGACAGAACAGCACCTCGGACTGAATTATTTTGCCAAAAATCAAAATTGTTATTTTTTTATTTTTATTTTTTACCACAATTGCGCTCCTATTTTGATTTTCCTTTGAAGATTTTTATAATTTTCATGAGCTTGATAGCTTGTCTTTTCAGTTGGAGTGAATTGTCACTGGACATTAATGTTGCATAGGAAAGTGCTCACTTCTAGCACACATGTAGAGTATGGAAATAATCTGTGTAGCGGTTAACCCGCTTTAAATATACAACATACCACAACCAAAAGGGCTGCAGTGGTAAAGTCTTTAGTTTAGGGCTTAAATGATTAATGACTAATAATCAAACTAATTTAGTATAGAGAATCTAAAATATGCCTTTAGCTGACAGAGCGGCCCACCTAGCAGTAATTATATCAAAATGAAAAAAAATATAAACATTTTGCGGTTAGGATAAAAAAATGTATTGTCAATATGCTCTATTCAGAACTCTTCATATGGAAACATTTTAGCATCACCTGTTTCAATCTAGTAAAAAATCTTTAAGTAACCTTCGGCTCTCCCATCATTAATCGAAAAATAAAAAATCAACAGATTAATCGATTTGCAAAATAATCGTTAGTTGCAGCCCTAGTTTAGTTACTATGGTAAATATGATGTGAGTAAAAGTGAGTGCTCTTGCAATGTAAAAATTGCACTTTGATAAAATGTGATTATATTGCAGGTGCAATTAATTGTCCAGCCCTAGCAATAAACTGACAGGTGCATTTTTTGACAAAACAGCAACAGTGCCTAAAAGAGTGAATCTGAAACTTAATCATCAATTTCACCACAATAGTATCGATCAAATACCAATACCAACTTATCAATATCATTGAGATTTTGGATCGATCTGCCCAACATTGTTGTGTAACAGACACAACAGTGAAGGAAAAGGTGCTTTGGTCAGATGAGACCAAAAATGAACCTTTTGGCTTGAGTAGAAGTTCATAAATACAGATAAACTAATAGTGCAAGTCAACCTAACCTCAGCATTGCCTCAGTGAACCATGGTGCTGCTGCCTCATGCTAAGGGAATCAAGTGAGAGTTCAGATAAGGAGGATATAAGGCCAAAAACAGCTTAAAAATAGAAGAGAAGTTGTTCAAGGCAACTGACCCAGGGATACCCATTTGAATGATACTTGGATCTTCAACATAGTTAGAACTAACATCCCTCTGCTTCAACACACCTTTAAGACCCCATCTAATGATGAAAACATACCCTTGTGTTAAAATGGCCTAGTCAAAGTCCAATTCTAAATCCAATAGACAACATTTTGTAATAATCGCCTAGACACTCTCAAAGAAGAAAGACACATTTTCAATTTACATGTGTAAAGTTGGTAGAGACAGAGTGGATGGAGCCAAAGATACTTTTACAAAGTATTAACCCAGGGACTGAATACATGATCACATCACAGCAGAAGTATAAAACAACCATATCTGTTACACAGGGCGGATTTACCTTTATCTCCAGTTTTGGTGTATATTTTTGGTGACCTTTCTTCTCCAGTGGCATAACTATTAGAAAAAAATAATAAATAAAAAATGTTAAAGAGACGAAATTATATATAATAAGCAAGTATTAGGATTCACTGTCTCGTATAAATTATATATAAAAATAATAATAATAAATAAGAGTAGTATGAAAGGTTTGCATCAAGGACTCTTCTGTTGTTATGAAAGCAGGCGTCAAAGAAGGCGGCACTTTAAACATGTCAGTTATAGTTTACCTTCGGTCTAATATCAGAGGTGTATGTTTCCGATATTCGTTTATGATCCTCGGTGTCCGCAACAAACAGCGGAGGAGAGCAGGTTTGATAATAACCGATGTCATAACGAGCTAAATGTAGCAGCTGCGTCTGAGCGCTGTCCAGTTACGAATTTTGTCCCTCTACTGTGTCCGTAGTTTGAAGGCGTTTCGTTTTCATCGCACGATTGGTCAACTCATCACGTGGTAAGTGGAGCGCGGACGCTGATTGGTCAGAATGGAATGTGTTGAAGTAGCAGCTACAATGATTGGATGCTGGGGATGGAGGTAGAGTAGAGCATGTAGCTCTGTGTAAACTGTTTATCAGCTGGGGGTGTACAGAGCCTTAGAGTTAGATTTAATCACAGTCGTGAGTATTTAAATGTTTGATACTTATAATCGGATGTCTGTGAATTAAAAGCACGTTCTGTGGGTTTAAACTGCTGCCCTGTTTCTGCTACCTCAGCGGATTATCGACAGCTAAGCCTGTCAGTGTGACACTTTGAGTGAACAGCTGAACTTGGAAAGGCTTCACAGCCTGGAAACCAGCAGGAAGATGCAGGTGAGGGACTGTCTGATTTCTGCCCCCGGGAAAGCGATCCTACACGGAGAACATGCTGTTGTTCACGGGAAGGTAATGTTAACACTCATTTAAATTTCTACCATAATAAAGGCCGCTAAGCTTTAAAGAAGGGACACCTTTTTAGCCTTGTGGTTTCTTGTTTATGCCTAGAGTAAAATGTTTTTTAATGAAAATTGTCCTACACAATTTCAGTATGATTTTCAGCTATAGTCATCAGGACATTTGGCTTTTTCAAGCTGCAGTCTTTCAGGTGTTTTGTTGAAAAAATTAACAGAAACTTCTGCAAAAGTTGAACATTGAAATAATATAGGAGTGGAGCTTAGTTAGGTGGATGGCCCAACCCTGATGGGAAAATGTAATTTGGCAGTCTGTGTGATCACACCTAATAGTTATCATCGCTTTAAATCTTTCACATAGAGTAGGCCTACAAAATGACATCATTTGGTATATACTACAACGAAAATAACTTGTGCATTGTATGTCAATTACTAATTACTTTGCAATAACCTGTTTCTTTATATTTGATACCCAGTGCAATAGTTATATAGATAAATACCCATCTATACAAATACCCTGTGCAATAACCCTATATAATAATCCTGCTTAAAAAAAAAAAAAAAAAATAAGCTGTTAAATATATATATATGGACCTGCTGTACATACTTTATATACCTCCATGCAGCTTTTTTTCCTATGGTACCTTCTTCTTTTTGACTATTTGAGCTGATGTAACAAGTAAATTTTTCCACTGTGAGATCAAAAAAGTCAATCAATCAATTTGCTGTGTAAAATGCAGGAAAAATGCCTTTGTTGATTTGTTTCTAGTCTTTGAAAAAAAAAAAAATCAATTGAGTTCCAGTAAATATCTTGGATTTAAAACATCAGTAAATTGGGTTAGATTGTTCATATAACCATACTTAGGCAATGGGAAACATAAGGATTTTTACAAGAAGGTAAGTAAATAGGTATTAAATTTAGGTAAGAAGGGATGAAATGGTAATGGTAGAACCTAACAAAGAATTAATTGACATGTATTGTCATGTTGCAGGTGGCTCTTGCTGTAAGTTTAAACCTGAGAACATATTTGCAATTGAAGGCGAAAGATGATGGCAAAGTTTCCATTAACCTACCTAATATCGAGACCTTCGTCAGCTGGGAGCTCTCCGAACTAAAGCAGCTGATCCCCTGTTTTAGTGGTAAGAAATGATGCAGCACACTGACACATTATCAGACACATTAGAGCAATTATTGCTTTCATAAACATACGGTGATTGTTCACAGTTTATTCCTTCATGGATATTTTAAGCCATATTTGGTTGTGAAAACATTATGCTAGTTACCAGCATTTTAAAGAAGAAATGTACTACTAAACATGATGTGTGTCTGTTTCCTACACCTCAGAGATTAAATAAATTCTTCTGTTTTTCAAAATATTCTTAACAGATAAAAAAGAAGAGGTACAACGTCTGGATCCTGAACTAGTGAAGAAACTGCGTGAATTTATGGGTGTGAACAATGGAAATTTGGACAGCAGTACTACAGCCACCTTAGCCTTCCTCTACATCTACCTATCACTTTTTGGATCAGGGTGAAGTATTTCCTGTGTGCTTCAGATAAATTCCACATTTTATGTAAATCTGGCCCATAAAATTCACCCTGTTCTTTTTCTACTTTAATTTATACCTGCCATTGACAAGAAAGGCAGAGGCCACCAAGAAAGGCTGAGTTGCAGATGTCCATGCTCTGTATCCGCAGGGAAAATGTGATGATTTGAAGCTTTTATTATCTGCAAGGGTGAAATGTTCCAAGGACATCCACTTTTTCTTAGCTCCCGATTGTGTCTTTTGTCAAAGGAAACATTTTATACAAGTTCACCGTCCTCCCTATTTGTTCTCTGTATTTATTTATAATAGTGAAGGAGGGTGGACAGAATGTTTGGCAGGAGGAGTATTTGGCAGCCGTAGAATCTGCAGCAATCATGCAAACAGATCCTTTTTTTTTTTTTTTTTTTTTTAGAATTGCCTGGATATAGCACTTTCATATTAACCAGCTTCTGTTACACTAACCTTTTGTGGCAAACACTCTTAATGGAAGCTGCTAAGGGCTGTCATCTGGATGTCTATCCAATCATTACTCTTCTTGATTGATGTTGAGCCCAGTGGTTTTCTAAGCAGGGTCCACCAGGGGGAGCAAGCGTAGTCTCAGAAAGTTAAAGTAAATTTTTGGAAAAACCCCACAAAAATAAAAAGATTTATATAGATTTTTAAATAATATTATTTTCTAATCCTTGTTATTAAATATATTCCTTAATAATACATCATAGCAGATAATAATTTTAGGGAATTTTAAATTAAACTTCAAAGCTCTTCCTATTCCTAACTATGTATGAAAGAACTGGCTAATTGGGTAGTAAATACTTTTTCCTTTTTGAAATGATTTATTTGTTTGTGCCTAGTTTAACTTTATAAATACTAAAAGCAAAACTGCATCTTCACTTGGACATGTGTGGAGCTGGTAGACAAAACCAACCCTCTGTTTACAAAAACATTTGAAATGTTGAATTTTCTTTTATTCTGTCCTTATCTTAAAAACCCTGTTTAAAAGTTTGTTAAGTAGTGGGAATATAATACGGTATTGAATACATGCTAGTAATGTTCTTACGTTAAACAAATGTAATTGTTATTGAATAATGAAGAAAAGAAGCTAATATGGTTTAGGAGGCCATGGTATGGAAAATTTGGAAACTTCTGGTTTAGCGTGCTGAAGCCCACTGACTATGTAGAGGTTTATGAAACCAAGACAGGTTTTTCATGAGTAAAATCAGCTAAATTATAATTTATAAAGTATTGAAATATTTTACTCAGTAGTTAATCTTTATAATATATAAGGTTAACTTTAACAAGTGACAGAAATGCTAAACTTTTTCCCATATTATATTTCTGTTTCAGATCTAACACTTGTGCAGGTCTGCAGTTTTTCCCTCCTTACTCTCCAACGTTAATATGATAATGAATGTCCTTACTGATGTGGGCAGGTTAACTGGATGAATTAGAACCCTCTTCTTTAAGGTTAAGGTGCTAAAGAGAGACAGATTTACAGACACTGCGGCCCCAGCTGCTGTGAGCGGGGAAGATGGTCGGGAACATAAGAACTGCAGGTTGTTGTAGGGTTTAATCGGCACTGACACAGTGCTGCTGTGTCAGAGGGAGGTGAAGGATTTCTGACAAGATGGCTACTAATGAGAGTCAGACACTGGGCCACACTGCACATTTTAACAAGTCTGGATGAGTTTTCCCCTTGAGAGCAGAACAGGACAATTAGTTTAGAGTGTTTCTCCCTCTGCCTAAAAGCAACAACTCTGAAATAACAGAATTATTCCAATGCTTACTGCATTATCATTGTACCATTGAAATACAGTCTGACTGTTACTGATATTGTAACCTCTTTAACCTTTCCTTTTTGTTTTGTTTTCTTTGTTTTTTCAAATCTAGCCCTTCAATTATTATTTCCGGTTGTGTTTTCAGAGAGATGCCCAGTCTGACGGTGTCTGTGTGGTCAGAGCTGCCGACCGGTGCAGGGCTGGGCTCAAGTGCTGCATACTCAGTGTGTTTAGCTGCAGCTCTTCTCTGTGTGAGTGGAAAGATTCCCGCTCCTCTCAAAGACGGGGAGCAGACTGGCAGGTAAAAACGAGGTCTGGAGTTTTTCTATGTATTGAACAATTAGTTCCTGTTTTTTTTTTTTTTTTTTTTTCCCCGTAACCATTGTAACTAGTTTGATGTAGAGGCATGGTGTAAGTTGTGCATGGGGTGTATAATGAAAGTAAGGCCTGGATGGTTTGCATTTAGTTGCTTCTTTATGCAAATGTTTTGTAACTGAAGGGAGCAGGTGTTCCAGTTTTTACTTTGATTAATTTTGCTTTTACAAAGATTAAAACTTTCAGTAAACTTTGTTGCATTATGTTCAAATGAAACATTTTGACCAGTAATGGCACACCCAGGCATGAATGCTTCACTTGTTCCCGTCAGCACTGTAGTTACAATCTGAACATTGCCTGTGTGTAAATGCAACACTGTTTAATGCCTCAGATATTTTCAAACAATTTTTTTAAACTTAGTACATCAGCTTTGCAGAAAGCAAACCGTGCATGAGTCGCTACACTGAAAAAAATGAATGCATCCGCTTTTGGCATTTACTTAATCATATTTAATTACTTTAACACAATTGTTTTATGTCCTACCCTGCTAATATGAAACTATTGTGTTAAAGTTACTAAAGATAATTAAGTAAATTCCCAAAATGGTTCCATAATTGTTTTTTCAGTGTACTCATCACTTCCCGGTTTTGTTTAATAACATTTAAATATCCTTGTATTTTTTTGGAAAATATCTTAAAATCTGATCATCATCTTGTTAAACAGAAACACTAACTGAATCATGGAATAAACAGGATTATTAAGGTCTGTTTGTTTCAGCAAATCATTTCCCCTTCACAGATTTATTCCTATTTTATCATATGTGCATGTTTCGTATCATCAGTGTTGGTTGT